GGCAGACCCAGGTGGGCCCGATCCCCAGGTGGATGATGTGGCCTATTGGGGGCACCCTGTGACCTGCACCTTGGCCACCAAGGGCTGCAAGGTAGAGACCACCCCCTTTCCTTCTGTGGGACCCCCTGTATCCCTGGCCCCACCCTGGGGCTCTGAACCCCCTGAGACCCCCTGGGACCCCTCAGAGACCCCTCTGGGACCCCACTGGGGCACCCCTGGACCTGCACTTGGCCACCAAGGGGCTGCAGAGTGAGACCACCCCCATTCCTGACCCCCTGTGTCTGACCCCTCCCTGGGGCTCTGAACCCCCCTGAGACCCCCTGAGACCCCCTCTGGGACCCCACTGGGGGCACCCCCTGGACCTGCACTTGGCCACCAAGGGGCTGCAAGGTGAGACCACCTCCCATTCCTGACCCCCCCTGGGGCTCTGAGCCCCCCTGAGACCCCTGACCCACCCTGGGACCCCCCTGGGACCCCCTGACCCCACCCTGGGACCCCATTGGGGGCACCCCCTGGACCTGCACTTGGCCACCAAGGGGCTGCAAGGTGAGACCACCCCCCCTTCCTGACCCCCCCTGGGGCTCTGACCCCACCCTGGGACCCCCTGGGACCCCCTGTGTCCCTGGAACCCCCATGGACCTTCTTGGGATCCCCCTGTGTCCCTGACACCTCCTGAGACCCCCTGGGACACCCCCAGGACCCCCTCTGGGACTCTGGAACCCCCTGGGACCCCCCAGGACTCCTGATCCCCCTGGGACCCCTCCAGGACTCTGAACCCCTGGGGACCCCAGGACCCCCCTCTGTGTCCCTGACCTCCCTGGGGACCCCCCAGGACCCTGAGCACCCCCCTTGGAACCTTCTCAGACCCCTCAAGGACCCCAGGACCCCCGGGATCCCCTTTGGGACCCCCTGTGTCCCTGACCCCCTGGGACCCCCGGGACCCCCCTGACCCCCTGGGACCCTTCTGTGACCCCCTGACCCCCTGGGACCCCCAGGGTGGCTGAGGCTGCTGCTGGAGGTGTGTCCCCACATCCCCATTATCCCCTCACATCCCCATTATCCCCCATATCCCTGACCCCCAGTCGTCCCCATGTCCCCCCAATATTCCTGCCCCCTGTGACCCCCTGTGACCTCCTGACATCACTGTGACCCCCTGACCCCCCCGTGTCCCCCAGGGTGGCCGAGGCTGCTGCTGGAGGTGTGTCCCCACATCCCCCACATCCCCATTATCCCCCATAATCCCCCATATCCCTGACCCCCATGTCCCCCTGTGTCCCCGTGTCCCCCGTGTCCTGAAACCCCGGTGACCCCCTGACCCCCGTGTCCCCCAGGGTGGCCGAAGCTGCTGCTGGAGGTGTGTCCCCACATCCCCATTATCCCCCATATCCCCCATATCCCTGTGACCCCCAATATTCCTGATCCTATGTGACTCCCCATGTCCCCCGTGTCCCCCAATATTCCTGACCCCTGACCCCCCATGTCCCCCAGGGTGGCTGAAGCTGCTGCTGGAGGTGTGTCCCCACATCCCCCATTATCCCCCATAATCCCCCATATCCTTTACCCCCTCATGTCCCCCGTGTCCCCCAATATTCCTGACCCCCTGACCCCCTGTGTCCCCCAGGATGGCCTCAAGCTGCTGCTGGAGGTGTGTCCTCACATCCCCACATCCCCACATCCCCATATCCCCCATATCCCTGTGACCCCAATATTCCTGATTCTATGTGACTCCCCCATGTCCCCATGTCCCCCTGTCCCCCTGTGTCCCCCATGTCCCCCAATATTCCTGCCCCCTGTGACCCCCTGACCCGCCCGTGTCCCCCAGGGTGGCCGAGCTGCTGCTGGAGGTGTGTCCCCATATCCCCCATATCCCCATATCCCCCATATCCCTGACCCCCATGTCCCCCGTGTCCCCCGTGTCCCCCGTGTCCCCCAATATTCCTGCCCCCATGACCCCCTGTGACCCCTGACCCCCCGTGTCCCCCAGGGTGGCCGAAGCTGCTGCTGGAGGTGTGTCCCCTCATCCCCATATCCCCCATATCCCCCCATATCCCCACATATCCCTGACCCTGCCATATCCCCATTACCCCCATGTCCCCCAATATCCTGACCCCCTGTGACCCCCTGACCTGCCCGTGTCCCCCAGGGTGGCCGAAGCTGCTGCTGGAGGTGTGTCCCCACATCCCCCACATCCCCATTATCCCCCACATCCCCATATCCCTGACCCCCCATGTCCCCCGTGTCTCCCCAATATCCCTGTCCCCGGTGACCCCCTGTGACCTCCTGACATCACTGTGACCCCCCTCACCCCCGTGTCCCCCAGGGTGGCCGAAGCTGCTGCTGGAGGTGTGTCCCCACATCCCCCATATCCCCATTATCCCCCATTATCCCCTATATCCCCCATATCCCCAATTATCCCCATATCCCTGACCTGCCATATCCCCATTACTCCCCGTGTCCCCTCGTGTCCCCCAATATTCCTGCCCCCTGTGACCCCTGACCCCCGTGTCCCCCAGGGTGGCGAAGCTGCTGCTCGAGGTGTGCCCACATCCCCATATCCCCCATTATCCCCATTATCCCCATATCCCCCTATCCCCATTATCCCCATATCCTGACCTGCCATATCCCCATTGCTCCCCGTGTCCCCCGTGTCCCCCAATATTCCTGCCCCCTGTGACCCCCTGACCCCCGTGTCCCCCAGGGTGGCCAGGCTGCTGCTCGAGGTGTGTCCCCACTCCTCCATATCCCCACATCCCCCATATCCTGACCTGCCATATCCCCATTACCCCCCGTGTCCCCCAATATTCCTGCCCCCTGTGACCCCCTGTGACCCCCTGACCCCCCGTGTCCCCCAATGTTTGTGACCCCCTGTGACCCCCTGTGACCCCCTGGCCCCCGTGTCCCCCAGGGTGGCCGAAGCTGCTGCTGGAGGTGTGTCCCACATCCCCATATCCCTGACCCCCGTGTCTCCCCGTGTCCCCATGTCCCCCGTGTCCCCCAATATTCCTGCTCCCCTGTGACCCCCTGTGACCCCCTGACCTGCCCGTGTCCCCCAGGGTGGCCGAGCTCCTGCTGGAGGTGTGTCCCCACATCCCCACATCCCCATTATCCCCCATATTCCCCATATCCCTGACCCCCATGTCCCCATGTCCCCCGTGTCCCCACGTGTCCTGAGACCCCTGTGACCCCTGGCCCCCCGTGTCCCCCAGGGTGGCCGAAGCTGCTGCTGGAGGTGTGTCCCCACATCCCCCATATCCCCACATCCCCCATATCCCCTGACCCCCATCTCCCCCCATGTCCCCGTGTCCCCCTGTGTCCCTGCCCCCTGACCCCCGTGTCCCCCAGGGTGGCCGAAGCTGCTGCTCGAGGTGTGGCACCTGGACGGCTGGGGCCGGGCGGAGGTTTTGGGGTACGGGGCGGTGCCGGTGCCCTCGAGCCCCGGCCCCACGAGCTCACCTGCCTGACCTGGGCCCCCGGGTTCGTGGGGAACGCCTGGCCGGGGGTCCTGGGGGCCCTGCCTGCTGAGCCCCGAGGGGGCGGCCTGAGGGCGGCCGAGAGGTTCCGGCTGCGCACCCGGAGCGCCGGCAGCGTCCGAGTCCACATCGGGGTCCTGCCCAGGAATTTGGGGAAATTTGGGGTGGCCTGTTAGGGAGGGGCACCCAAAAATGGGGGGGACAGCCAGGGTGGGGGACAGCCAGGGGTGGGGGGACAGCCAGGGATGGGATATTGGGGATGGGACCCGTAGGAATGAGATATTGGGGATGGGACCCCCAGGGATATCGGGGTCCTGCCCAGGAATTTGGGAAATTCGGGGTGGCCTGTTAGGGGAGGGCACCCAAAAATGGGGGGGACAGCCAGGGTGGGGGGACAGCCAGGAGTGGGGGGACAGCCAGGGAGTGGGATATTAGGGATGGGACCCCCAGGACCCTCCAGGGACAGGAGCTCGAGGTCCTGCCCAGGAATTTGGGCAAATTTGGGGTGGCCTGTTAGGGGAGGGGCACCCAAAAATGGGGGGGACAGCCAGGGATGGGGGGGACAGCCAGGGGTGGGATACTGGGGATGGGACCACCCAGGGATGAGATATTGGGGATGGGACACCCAGGGACCCCAAGGGATGAGATATCGGGGTCCTGCCCAGGAATCTGGGCAAGTTCGGGGTAGCCTGTTAGGGGAGGGGGCACCCAAAAATGGGGGGGGGACACCATGGGACCACCCAGGGATGGGATATTGGGGATGGGATCACCCAGGGATGAGTTATTGGGGTCCCCCGGGGATGGGACACTGCGGGACCACCCAGGGATGAGATATTGGGGATGGGACCCCCCAGGGATATCGGGGTCCTGCCCAGGAATCTGGGCAAGTTCGGGGTGGTCTGTTAGGGGAGGGGGCACCCAAAAATGGGGGGACAGCCAGGGGTGGGGGGACAGCCAGGGATGGGGGGGACAGCCAGGGATGAGATATTGGGGATGGGACCCCAGCAATGAGATATTGGGGATGGGACCACCCAGGGATGGGATATTGGGGATGGGACCCCCAGGGATATCGAGGTCCTGCCCAGGAATTTGGGCAAGTTCAGGGTGGCCTGTTGGGGAGGGGGCACCCAAAAATGGGGGGACAGCCAGGGATGGGGGGGACACCGTGGGACCACCCAGGGGTGAGATATCAGGGTCCCCTGGGGTTGGGACACTCTGGGACCCCCAGGGATGAATTATTGGGGTCCCCTGGGGATGGGACCCCAGGGATATCGGGGTCCTGCCCAGGAATTTGGGAAGTTTGGGGTGGCCTGTTAGGGAGGGGCACCCAAAAATGGGGGGACAGCCAGGGGTGGGATATTGGGGATGGGATCCCCAGGGATATCGGGGGTCCTGCCCAGGAATCTGGGGAAATTCGGGGTGGCCTGTTAGGGGAGGGCACCCAAAATGGAGGGGACAGCCAGGGGTGGGGGGACAGCCAGGGATGGGATATTGGGGATGGGACCCCCAGGGACCTCTCCGGAGCAGGAGCTCAGGGGTCCTGCCCAGGAATCTGGGCAAGTTTGGGGTGGTCTGTTAGGGGCAGGCACCCAAAAATGGGGGGACAGCCAGGGGTGGGGGGACAGCCAGGGGTGGGGGGACAGCCAGGGATGGGATATTGGGGATGGAACCCGTAGGAATGAGATATTGGAGATGGGACCCCCAGGGATATCGGGAGTCCTGCCCAGGAATCTGGGGAAAGTTCGGGGTGGCCTGTTAGGGGAGGGGCACCCAAAAATGGGGGGGACAGCCAGGGGTGGGGGGGACAGCCAGGGGTGGGATATTGGGGATGGGACCCCGTAGGAATGAGATATTGGGGATGGGACCCCCAGGGATGGGACCTCCCAGAACAGGAGCTCAGGGGTCCTGCCCAGGAATCTGGACAAGTTTGGGGTGGCCTGTTAGGGAGGGGCACCCAAAAATGGGGGGGACAGCCAGGGGTGGGATGATTGGGGATGGGACCCCCCCGGGATATCGGGGTCCTGCCCAGGAATCTGGGCAAGTTCGGGGTGGCCTGTTAGGGAGGGGGCACCCAAAAATGGGGGGCGGACAGCCAGGGGTGGGGGGACAGCCAGGGGTGGGGGACACCGTGGGACCACCCAGGGATGAGATATTTGGGATGGGACCTTCCAGGGATGAGATATTGGGGGTGGGACTCCCCCCTCAGGGATGGGACCCCCATGGGACAGGAGCTCAGGGTCCTGCCCAGGAATCTGGGCAAGTTCGGGGTGGCCTGTTAGGGGAGGGGCACCCAAAAATGGGGGGGGGACACCGTGGGACCACCCAGGGATGCGATATTGGGGATGGGATCACCCAAGGATGAGTTATTGGGGTCCCCCGGGGATGGGACACTGCGGGACCACCCAGGGATGAATTATTGGGGATGGGACCCCCCAGGGATATCAGGGTCCTGCCCAGGAATTTGGGGAAATTTGGGGTGGCCTGTTAGGGGAGGGGGCACCCAAAAATGGAGAGGACAGCCAGGGTGGGGGGACACCGTGGGACCACCCAGGGATGAGATATTGGGGATGGGACCCCGTAGGAATGAGGTATTGGGGTGGGACACCCAGGACCCCAGGGATGAGATATTGGGGTCCTGCCCAGGAATTTGGGAAAGTTTGGGCTGACCTGTTGGGGAGGGGGCACCCAAAAATGGGGGGACAGCCAGGGGTGGGGGGACAGCCGTGGGACCACCCAGGGATGGGATATTGGGGATGGGCCCCCAGGATATCGGGGTCCTGCCCAGGAATTTGGGGAAATTCGGGGTGGCCTGTTAGGGGAGGGTACCCAAAAATGAGGGGGACAGCCAGGGGTGGGGGGACAGCCAGGGTTGGGGGGACACCGTGGGACCACCCAGGGGTGAGATATCAGGGTCCCCTGGGGTTGGGACACTCTGGGACCCCCAGGGATGAATTATTGGGGTCCCCTGGGGATGGGACACTCTGGGACCCCCAGGGATGAATTATTGGGGTCCCCTGGGGATGGGACCCCCCAGGGATATCGGGGTCCTGCCCAGGAATTTGGGAAGTTTGGGGTGGCCTGTTAGGGGAGGGGGCACCCAAAATGGGGGGACACTGTGGGACCACCCAGGGATGAGATATTGGGGATGGGACCCCCCAGGGATGGGACCCCCCAGGACAGGAGCTCAGGGGTCCTGCCCAGGAATTTGGGAAAGTTTGGGGTGACCTTTTGGGGGGGGGGCACCCAAAATGGGGGGACACCGTGGGACCCCCAGCGATGAATTATGGGGGTCCCCTGGGGATGGGACCCCCAGGGATGGGGGGACATCGTAGGACCCCCAGGGATGGGGGAGGCACTGTGGACCCCCAGGGATGAATTATTGGGGTCCCCTGGGGATGGGACACTCTGGGACCCCCAGGGATGGGGGGACATCGTGGGACCCCAGGGATGGGGGGACATCGTGGGACCCCCAGGATGGGGAGGGCACTGTGGACCCCCAGGATGAATATCGAGGTCCTACCCAGGAATTTGGGAGGGTTGTTTGGGGTCTTTTTTAACGGGGGGACCCCAAAATTGGGGGTGGGGGTGTGTGAGGGGACACGACACTGTAGGACCCCCTAGGGATGGGGACCCCCAAACTCCCAGGACAAGAGCTCGGGGTCCTGCCCAGGGGGTCCTCGTGTCCCCTCCCCCCAAATAAAGTTGTTTTTCCCGTGTTTGACTCCCTTGGGATTGGGGTTTTTTGGGGGGCTGGGAATGGGGGACCCCCTTCCTAAGTTTTTTTTTGGGGGGGTCCTGGGGATGGCGGGACCTCCCCGTCATTTTTGGGGGTCCCAGCCCCGGGGAGTGGGGGGAGGGGGAAGGAAGTGTCTCAGACACGGGAAGGGGAGGGGAAGGGGCGTGTCCCGACCCTTTAGGGGTCCCCCGCCTTTTAGGGGGTGGGGGCAGGGCCGAGACCTCCCGCTTCCCTTTTTTTTTGGGGGAGGGGAAGGGAAACTGAGTCACGGCCCCTCCCCCTTTCCCTTCCTCCCCTCCCCGTTCCGGGCCCCGCCGAGCGGAAAAGGAGGGGGGGAGGGCACCCACAACCTCCCATCCCCCTCCCCACCCCGGCGTTTCCTGGGTGGGGCCGCCCCGAATTCGGCACCGCCGGAGGCGTCGGGATCGTCACGGGACGGCTCGGGAGGGACCCCCGGGATAACTGGGACCGACTGGGATAACTGGGATTGACTGGGACCCCCTGGGATCGACTGGGATCAACTGGGATCGGGATAAGGGTAGGTGGGACCACCCGGAACAACCCGGACCGGGACGGGGTAGGCGGGACCACCCGGGATAACCGGGATAACTGGGATCAACTGGGATAACTGGGATCAACTGGGACCTACCGGGACCAACTGGGACCAACTAGAACTGGGATAGGGTAGGTGGGACCAACTGGGATCAACCGGGACTGGGACGGGACTCCCCGGGATAACCAACTGGGATAACCGGGACCGGGACGGGGTAGGTGGGACCACCCGGGAACAACCTGAACCAAGACAGGACCACCCGGGATAACCGGGACGGGGTGGGCGGGACCGGGACGGGACTGGCACGGGACAGGCGGGATGAGCCGGGGACAACCGGGACCACCCGGGAATACCCGGGATAACCGGGACGGGGTAGGCGGGACCACCCGGGATCGGGACAGGGTAGGCGGGACAACCGGGAGCACCCGGGACAACCGGGACGGGACAACCCGGAACCAACCGGGACCACGGGACGGGGTAGGCGGGACCACCCGGGACAACCGGGACCAACCGGGACAACCGGGACTGGGACGGGGCTACCAGGACCGGGACGGGGTAGGCGGGACCACCCGGGACAACCGGGAACACCCGGGATAACCGGGACCAACACCCGGACCGGGACGGGACAACCGGGACGGGGTAGGCGGGACCACCCGGGACAACCGGGACCAACACCCGGACCGGGACGGGACAACCGGGACGGGGTAGGCGGGACCACCCGGGACAACCGGGACCAACCGGGATAACCGGGACTGGGACGGGACCACCCGGGACAACCGGGAACACCCGGGATAACCGGGACGGGGTAGGCGGGACCACCAGGGACAACCGGGACTGGGACGGGACCACCCGGGATAATCGGGGACAACCAGGGGTCAACCAGGACTGAGACGGGACCACCGGGAACAGTCCGGGACAACCCGGGACAGAACCGGGAAAACCGGGCCCGGGAATCCCGAGGGGGGGGATCCCGAGGGGGATTCCGAAGGGGATCTCGGGTGGGGCGGGGTCGGAACGGGTTAAATATCGTGTCCCGGGGGGAGGGGGAGTTATCCCGGTTCCCGGTGGGTTATCTCGGTTCCCGGTGGGTTATCTCGGTTCCCGGGGGGTTATCCCGGTTCCCGGGGGGTTATCTTGGTTCCCGGCGGGGTTATCTCGGTTCCCGGGGGGTTATCCCGGTTCCCGGTGGGTTATCTCGGTTCCCGGTGGGTTATCTCGGTTCCTGGGGGGGTTATCCCGGTTCCTGGTGGGTTATCTCGGTTCCTGGGGGTTATCCCGGTTCCCGGTGGGTTATCCCGGTTCCCGGTGGGTTATCTCGGTTCCCTGTGGGTTATCCCGGTTCCCGGGGGGTTATCCCGGTTCCCGGGGGGTTATCCCGGTTCCCGGTGGGTTATCTCGGTTCCTGGGGGGTTATCCCGGTTCCTGGGGGGGTTATCCCGGTTCCCGGTGGGTTATCCCGGTTCCCGGTGGGTTATCTCGGTTCCCGATGGGTTATCCCGGTTCCCGGTGGGTTATCTCGGTTCCCGGTGGGGTTATCCCGGTTCCCGGTGGGTTATCTCGGTTCCCAGCGGGGTTATCCCGGTTCCCGATGGGTTATCTCGATTCCTGGGGGGGTTATCCCGGTTCCCGGTGGGTTATCTCGGTTCCCGGTGGGTTATCCCGGTTCCCGGTGGGTTATTCAGTGGGGTTATCCCGGTTCCCGGTGGGTTATCCCGGTTCCCGGTGGGTTATCTCGGTTCCTGGGGGGGTTATCCCGGTTCCCGGTGGGTTATCCCGGTTCCCGGTGGGTTATCCCGGTTCCCGGTGGGTTATCTCGGTTCCTGGGTGGGTTATCCGGGTTCCCGGGGGGCGTGTCCCGGTTCCCGGGGGTTTTATCCCATCCCGGGTTGGTTATCCCGATTCCAGGGGGGTTATCCCTGTTCCGGGGGGTGTGTCCCGGTTGGAGGCGGGTTTATCCCATCCCAGGGAGTTTATCGTTCGGGGTATATCCATCCAGGAGTTTATCCCGGTTCCAAGGGTTTATCCCATCCCAGGGAGTTTATCCCGGTTCCAAGGGGTTTATCCCATCCCAGGGAGTTTATCCCGGTTCCAAGGGGTTTATCCCATCCCAGGGAGTTTATCCCGGTTCCAAGGGGTTTATCCCATCCCAGGAGTTTATCCCGGTTCCAAGGGGTTTATCCCATCCCAGGGAGTTTATCCCGGTTCCAAGGGGTTTATCCCGATCCCAGGGAGTTTATCCCGGTTCCAAGGGGTTTATCGCATCCCGGGGAGTTTATCCCGGTTCCCGGGGGGTATATCCCATCCCAGGGAAAGTTTATCCCGGTTCCAAGGGGTTTATCCCATCCCAGGGAGTTTATCCCGGTTCCTGGGGGAGTTATCCCGGTTCCCGGGGGGCTATCTCGGTTCCTGAGGGGGTTATCCCGGTTCTGGGGGGGTTATTCCATCTCAGGGAGTTTATCCCGATTCCAGGGGGGTTATCCCTGTTCCGGGGGGTGTGTCCCGGTTGGGGGCGGGTTTATCCCATCCCGTGGAGTTTATCCCGGTTCCTGGGGGGGTTATCCCATCCCAGGGAGTTTATCCCGGTTCCTGGGGGGGTTATTCCGGTTCCCGGGTTGGTTATCCCGGTTCCCGGGGGGTTATCCCGGTTCCGGGGGGTGTGTCCCGGTTGGAGATGGGTTTATCCCATCTCAGGGAGTTTATCCCGGTTCCTGAGGGGGTTTATCCCATCCCGGGTAGTTATCCCAGTTCCCGGGGGGTTATCCCTGTTCCAAGGGGGGTGTGTCCCGGTTGGAGATGGGTTTATCCCATCCCAGGGAGTTTATCCCGGTTCCTGAGGGGGTTTATCCCATCCCGGGGAGTTTATCCCAGTTCCCGGGGGGTTATCCCTGTTCCAAGGGGGGGTGTCCCGGTTTCGGGGGAGTTTATCCCATTCCAGTGGGTTTATCCCGGTTCCAGGGAGGTTTTCCCGGTTCCAGAGGGGTTTATCCCATCCCAGGGGGTCTCTCCCTCTCCCAGTGGGTTTATCCCATCCCAGAGGGTCTCTCCCTCTCCCAGGGGGTCTCTCCCTCTCCCAGGGGGTCTCTCCCACTCCCAGGGGGTCTCTCCCAACCTCTCCCTCCCTCTCCCAGGGGGTCTCCCCCTCTACCAGGGGGTCTCCCCCTCTCCCGGTGGGTTTATCCCATCCCAGAGGGTCCCCCCTCTCCCAGGGGGTCTCTCCCTCTCCCAAGGGGTCTGTCCCTCTCCCAGAAGATTTATCCCATCCCAGGGGATCTCCCCCTCTCCCGGTGGGTTTATCCCATCCCAGGGGGTCTCTCCCTCTCCCAGGGGGTCTCCCCTTCTCCCAGGGGGTCTCTCCCTCTCCCAGGGGGTCCCCCCCTTTCCCAGAAGATTCATCCCATCCCAGGGGGTCTCTCCCTCTCCCAGGGGATCTCCCCCTCTCCCAGTGGGTTTATCCCATCCCAGGGGGTCTCTCCCTCTCCCAGAGGGTTTATCCCATCCTGGGGGGTCTCCCCCTCTCCCAGAGGATTTATCCCATCCCAGGGGGTCTCCCCCTCTCCCAGGGGGTCTCCCCCTCTCCCAGGGGATCTCCCCCTCTCCCAGGGGGTCTCTCTCTCTCCCAGGGGGTCTCCCCCTCTCCCAGGGGGTCTCTCCCAACCTCTCCCTCCCTCTCCCAGTGGGTTTATCCCATCCCAGGGGGTCTCTCCCTCTCTCAGAGGGTCTCTTCCCCTCCCGGAGGGTTTATCCCATCCCAGGGGATCTCTCCCTCTCCCAGGGGGTCTCTCCCTCTCCCAACCTCTCCCAGGGGGTCCCCCCTCTCCCAGGGGGTCTTTCCCCCTCCCAGAGGATTTACCCCATCCCAGGGGGTCTCTCCCACTCCCAAGGGGTCTCCCCCTCTCCCAGGGGGTCTCCCCCTCTCCCAGGGGGTCTCCCCCTCTCCCAGGGGGTCTCTCCCAACCTCTCCCTCCCTCTCCCAGGCCCCTCCATCCATCACCCCCCCCCGCGCCATCCCATCCCCGCCATCCCCGGGGGGGGGTGGGGAGAGCTTCTGTCGCGACAACGACGACCGCGAGGGCATCGACGCCAGCCACGATGGTGACGGTGGCCGTGACGATGGCCATGACCCTCCTGCCGCTGCTCGCGCCCCTCCCGCGCCCCTCCCGCGCCCTCTCCACGTGCCGCACCCTGGATTTGGAGGCCGCGCGGCGCAAACGCATCGAGGCCGTGCGGGGCCAGATCCTGAGCAAGCTGCGCCTGCCGGAGCCCCCCCCGGAGCCCCCTCCCCACGACCCTCCCCGGCCCTGCCCGACGAGGTCCGGGCGCTCTACAACAGCACCCGCGAGCTGCTGCGGCAGCGCCAGCGGGCAGGACCCCGAGGACCCGAGGATTACTACGCCAGGAGCTGCACCGCTTCCCCATGGAGACCCCGGGCAGGGTGAGCAGTCTGGGGGTCCTGGGGGGCGGGGGAGGGGTCCTGGGGGCGGGGGAGGGGTTAGAGAGGCTGGGAGACCCCCGAGGATTACTACGCCAAGGAGCTGCACCGCTTCCCCAGGGAGACCCCGGGCAGGGTGAGCAGTCTGGGGGTCCCGGGGGCGGGGAGAGGGGTTGGAGGGTGAGACCCCTGGGAGGTGAATTTTGGGGTCCCAGGGGATGGAGGGGCGGGAGGAGGTGATTGGATGGCTGAGACCCCCGTGGATGGTGAGTTTGGGGGTCCTGGGGGCGGGGAGGGGCAGGAGGAGGTGATTGGATGGCTGAGACCCCCGTGGATGGTGAGTTTGGGGGGTCCCGGGGGCGGGAGGGGTCCTGGGGGCGGGGGAGGGGTTAGAGGGGCTGGGAGACCCCTGAGACCCCCGAGGATTACTATGCCAAGGAGCTGCACCGCTTCCCCATGGAGACCCCGGGCAGGGGTGAGCAGCTTGGGGGTCCCGGGGGCAGGAGAGGTTCTGGGGGCGGGGAGAGGTTGGAGGGAGAGACCCGAAATTGTGAGTTTTGGAGAGGGGAGGGGGTTGGAGGTGAGACCCCCAGGGATGGTGAGTTTGGGGAGGGGGAATGGCATGATTGGATGGCTGAGACCCCCGCGGATGGTGAGTTTTGGGGGTCCCAGGGGATGGAGGGGCGGGAGGAAGTGATTGGAGAGCTGAGACCCCCACGGATGGTGAGTTTGGGGGTCCCAGGGGCAGGGAGGGGTCCTGGGGGCAGGGGAGGGGGCTGGAAGGGTGAGACCCCCAGGGATGGTGAGTTTGGGGGGGGAATGGGGTGATTGGATGGCTGAGACCCCCGCGGATGGTGAGTTTGGGGGTCCCGGGGGCGGGGAGGGGTCCTGGGGGCAGGGGGAGGGCGTTGGAGGGGTGAGACCCCTGGGGAGGTGAGTTTTGGGGGTCCCGGGGGGATGGAGGGGAGGGAGGAGGTGATTGGAGAGCTGAGACCCCCTCGGATGGTGAGTTTGGGGGTCCTTTACCCCCTAAATTCACCCTGGGGATCTTTTACCCCCAAATTCACCCTGGAGGTCGTTCCTTTCCCCCAAATTCACCCTGGGGATCTTTTACCCCCAAATTCACCCTGGGGGTCGTTCCTTTCCCCAGAATTCACCCTGGGGTGCGTTCCTTTCCCCCCAAATTCACCCTGGGGGATCTCTTTCCCCCCCAAATTCACCCTGGGGGTCGTTCCTTCCCCCCCAAATTCACCCTGGAGGTCGTTCCTCTCCCCCAATTCACCCTGGGGTCGTTCCTCCCCAAATTCACCCTGGGGTCGTTCCTTCCCCAATTCACCCTGGAGGTCATTCCTCCCCCCCAAATTCACCCTGGGGGTCGTTCCTCCCCAAATTCACCTGAGGGTCGTTCCTTCCCCCAAATTCACCCTGGAGTCGTTCCTCTCCCCAATTCACCCTGGGGATCTTTACCCCAATTCACCCTGGGGGTCGTTCCTACCCCCCCAAATTCACCCTGGGGGTCGTTTATCCCCCCAATTCACCCTGGGGGATCTTTTACCCCCCCAAATTCACCCTGGGGGTCGTTCCTTCCCCAATTCACCCTGGGGGTCGTTCCTTCCCCAATTCACCCTGGGGGTCGTTCCTTCCCCAAATTCACCCTGGGGGTCGTTTACCTTCCCCCCCAAAATTCACCCTGGGGGATCTTTAATCCCCCCAATTCACCCTGGGGATCTTTTATCCCCCAAATTCACCCTGGGGTCGTTTATCCCCAATTCACCCTGGGGATCTTTTACCCCAAATTCACCCTGGGGTCGTTTACCTCCCAAAATTCACCCTGGGGTCGTTCCTCCCCCAATTCACCCTGGGGATCTTTTATCCCCGAGAGTTGTTTACCCCAATTCACCCTGGGGATCTTTTACCCCCCCAATTCACCCTGGGGGTCCTTTACCCCCCCCCTCAAATTCACCCTGGGGGTCGTTCCTTCCCCCCCAAAATTCACCCTGGGGATCTTTTACCCCCAAATTCGCCCTGGAGGTCGTTCCTTCCCCCAAATTCACCCTGGGGTCGTTCCCCCAAATTCAGCCTGGGGGTCGTTCCTTCCCCAAATTCACCCTGGGGGTCGTTTACCCCCCCAAATTCAGCCTGGGGGGATCTTTTACCCCCCAAATTCACCCTGGGGGTCGTTTACCCTCCCCAAAATTCACCCTGGGGTCGTTCCCCAGGCCCCCTGGAGCGCTGGCGCCCCACCCCCCACAGCGCCTTCTTCGTGTTCAACCTGAGCCGGGTCCGGGCCGAGCTGGGCCGGGCCTGGCTGAGCCGGGCGGAGCTGAGGATGCTGCGGCAGCGGGCGGGGACAGAGGGGAATGTGGGGATGGAGCAGAGACTGGAGCTCTACCAGGTGTGATGGGACATGAGGGGACAGCTGGGGGGCATGGGGACACCTGGGGGGACACGGGGACAGACGGGAATGTGGGGATGGAACAGAGACTGGAGCTCTACCAGGTGTGATGGGGGACAGGGGGACACCTGGGGAGACAGCGGGGACAGAGGGGACAGCGGGGATGGAGCAGAGAGTGGAGCTGTACCAGGTGGGACATGGGGACAGCTGGGGGGACAGAGGGGACAGCGGGGATGGAACAGAGGCTGGAGCTGTACCAGGTGTGATGGGACAGGGGGACACCTGGGGGGCACGGGGGGACAGAGGGGACAGCGGGGATGGAGCAGAGACTGGAGCTGTACCAGGTGGGACAGGGCATGGGGGACATGGGGACACCTGGGGGGACATGGGGAGCATGGGGGGACACAGGGACAAAGGGGACAGCGGGGACAGAGGGGACGGTGGGGATGGAGCAGAGGCTGGAGCTGTACCAGGTGGGACAGGGCATGGGGACAGCTGGGGGGACAGAGGGACAGAGCGGAATGTGGGGATGGAACAGAGGCTGGAGCTCTACCAGGTGTGATGGGACATGGGGACATGGGGGGACAGAGGGGAATGTGGGGATGGAACAGAGGCTGGAGCTGTACCAGGTGTGATGGGGGACAGGGGGACACCTGGGGGGCATGGGGGGACAGCGGGGACAGAGGGGACAGCGGGGATGGAACAGAGACTGGAGCTGTACCAGGTGTGATGGGGGACAGGGGGACACCTGGGAGGACATGGGGAGCATGGGGGGACACAGGGACAAAGGGGACAGCGGGGACAGAGGGGACGGCGGGGATGGAACAGAGGCTGGAGCTGTACCAGGTGTGATGGGGGACAGGGGGACACCTGGGGGGACATGGGGAGCATGGGGGGACACAGGGACAAAGGGGACAGCGGGGACAGAGGGGACAGAGGGGACAGCGGGGATGGAACAGAGAGTGGAGCTCTACCAGGTGTGATGGGACATGGGGACAGCTGGGAGGACACGGGGACACGGGGACAGAGGGGATGGAGCAGAGACTGGAGCTGTACCAGGTGTGATGGGGGACAGGGGGACATGGGGGGCATGGGGGGACAGACGGGACAGCGGGGATGGAGCAGAGGCTGGAGCTGTACCAGGTGTGATGGGACATGGGGACACCTGGGGGGACACGGGGGGACACCTGGGGGGACAGCGGGGACAGAGGGGAATGTGGGGATGGAGCAGAGACTGGAGCTGTACCAGGTGTGATGGGACACAGGGACAGGGGACACCTGGGGGACAGCGGGGACAGACGGGAATGTGGGGATGGAGCAGAGACTGGAGCTGTACCAGGTGTGATGGGACACAGGGACAGGGGGACACCTGGGGGGACAGCGGGGACAGACGGGAATGTGGGGACGGAACAGAGGCTGGAGCTGTACCAGGTGGGACAGGGGACAGGGGGGACACCGGGGCAGGGGGACAGCGGGACAGACAGGAAGTGGGGATGGAACAGAGGCTGGAGCTGTACCAGGTGTGATGGGGGACATGGGGGGACAGAGGGGACAGACGGGAATGTGGGGATGGAACAGAGGCTGGAGCTGTACCAGGTGTGATGGGGGACATGGGGACAGCTGGGGGGACAGAGGGGACAGACGGGAATGTGGGGATGGAGCAGAGACTGGAGCTGTACCAGGTGTGATGGGACAGGGGGACACCTGAGGGGACAGCGGGGACAGAGGGGACAGCGGGGATGGAGCAGAGAGTGGAGCTCTACCAGGTGTGATGGGACAGGGGGACATGGGGGGACAGCGGGGACGGAGGGGACAGCGGGGATGGAGCAGAGGCTGGAGCTCTACCAGGTGTGATGGGGGACATGGGGGGACACCTGGGGGGACAGAGGGGACAGAGGGACAGAGGGGACGGCGGGGATGGAACAGAGGCTGGAACTGTACCAGGTGTGATGGGACATAGGGACACCTGGGGGGACAGAGGGGACAGCGGGGACAGACGGGAATGTGGGGATGGAGCAGAGACTGGAGCTGTACCAGGTGTGATGGGACAGGGGGGACACCTGGGGGGCATGGGGACACCTGGGGAGACACGGGGACAGACGGGAATGTGGGGACGGAGCAGAGATTGGAGCTGTACCAGGTGTGATGGGGGATGGGGACACCTGGGGGGACAGCGGGGACAGACGGGAATGTGGGGATGGAGCAGAGGCTGGAGCTCTACCAGGTGTGATGGGGAACAGGGACAGGGGGGACATGGGGGGACAGCGGGGAATGTGGGGATGGAGCAGAGGCTGGAGCTGTACCAGGTGGGACAGGGCATGGGGGACATGGGGGGCATGGGGGGACAGCGGGGACAGAGGGGACAGCGGGGACAGAGCAGAGACTGGAGCTGTACCAGGTGGGACAGGGGATGGGGGACATGGGGGGCATGGAGACAGAGGGGACAGCGGGGACAGAGGGGACAGCGGGGACGGAACAGAGACTGGAGCTGTACCAGGTGTGATGGGGGACACCTGAGGGGACATGGGGACAGCGGGTACAGACGGGAATGTGGGGACGGAGCAGAGGCTGGAGCTGTACCAGGTGTGATGGACATGGGGACATGGGGGGACAGAGGGACAGAGGGGACAGACGGGACAGCGGGGATGGAACAGAGGCTGGAGCTCTACCAGGTGTGATGGGACATGGGGACACCTGGGGGGACAGCGGGGACAGACGGGAATGTGGGGATGGAACAGAGGCTGGAGCTGTACCAGGTGTGATGGGACATGGGGACATGGGGGGACAGCGGGGACAGCAGGGGACGGCGGGGACAGAGCAGAGGCTGGAGCTGTACCAGGTGGGACAGGGCAGGGGGGACATGGGGGACACAGGAACAGCAGGGACAGAGGGGACAGAAGGACAGGGGACACCTGGGGGGACACGGGGACACCTGGGGTGATTTGGGGACAGGGGGACAGAGGGGACAGAACAGAGACTGGAACTCTACCAGGTGTGATGGGGGATGGGGACACCTTGGGGGACATGGGGAGCATGGGGGGACACAGGGACAAAGGGGACAGCGGGGACGGAACAGAGACTGGAGCTCTACCAGGTGGGACAGGGGACAGGGGGGACAGGAGAGACAGGGGGGACACAGGAACAGCAGGGATAGAGGGGACAGAAGGACAGGGGACACCTGGGGGGACAGAGGGGATGGAGCAGAGACTGGAGCTGTACCAGGTGACACAGGGGACAGGGGGGACACAGGAACAGCAGGGACAGAGGGGACAGAAGGACAGGGGGACACCTGGGGGGACACAGGGACACCTGGGGTGATTTGGGGACATGGGGACAGAGGGGACAGCGGGGACACAGGGGACGGTGGGGACAGAGCAGAGACTCGAGCTCTACCAGGTGGGACAGGGCATGGGGGGCATGGGGGGCATGAGGGGACAGTGGGGACAGAGCAGAGGCTGGAGCTCTACCGGGTGGCACAGAGGATGGGGGACAGGGGGGACACAGGAACAGCAGGGACAGAGGGGACAGCAGGACAGGGGGACACCTGGGGTGATTTGGGGACATGGGGACAGAGGGGACAGAGCAGAGGCTCGAGCTCTACCAGGTGGGACAGGGGGGACACCTGGGGGACACGGGGACAGGAGGGGACAGAGGGGACAGAGCAGAGACTGGAGCTGTACTGGGTGTGATGGGGGACAGGGGGACATGGGGGACACCTGGGGAGAGGTCACAGGGTGACAAGGGAGGACATTTTTGGGGGTGTCTCCTCAGGGGTCGGAAACGCCTCGAACAGGGGAGCCCTCGGGTGGGATTTGGGTGTTTTCTGGGGGTCTGCAGGAATTTGGGGGTGTTTTGGGGTGGGTCTAGGGTGACATTTTTGGTGGGGTTGTCCCCTCAGGGAGTGGGGAACAGCTCGAACAGGGGATCCCTCGTAGGGGGATTTGGGGGTTTGGGGGTGGTTTGGGGGTCTGGGGGTGTTTTGGAGGTCTGGGGAATTTGGGGTGTTTTGGTGGGTCTGGGTGACATTTTTGGGGGTTGTCCCCTCAGGGAGTGAGGAACGGCTCGAACAGGGGATCCCTAGGAGATTTGAGGGTTTTGGGGGTCTGGGGGTGTTTTTGGAGGTCTGCAGGAATTTGGGGGTGTTTTTCGGGGTCTGGGTGACATTTTTGGGGGGTGTGTCCCCTCAGGGGGTGGGGAACGGCTCGAACAGGGGATCCCTCGAGGGAGGATTTGGGGGCTCTGGGGGTGTTTTGGGGGTCTGGGGGTGTTTTGAGGTCTAGGGAATTTGGGGGTGTTTTTGGTGGGTCTGGGTGACATTTTTGGGGGGTTGTCCCTCAGGGGTGGGAACAGCTCGAACAGGGGACCTCTTGAGGGAGGTTTGGGGTTTGGGGTGTTTTGGGAGGTCTGCAGGAATTTGGGGGTGTTTTTGTGGGTCAGGTGACATTTTGGTGGGGTTGTCCCCTCAGGGGTACCTCGACAGGGATCCTCAGGGATTTGGGGTCTGGGGGTATTTTGGGGGTTTGGGGTGTTTTTAGGAAATCTGGGGGTGTTTTTGAGGGTCTGGGGTCTTTTTTGAGAGCTTGGAAGTGTTTTAGGGAATCTGGGGGTGTTTTTGGGGGTCTGGGGGTGTTTTGGGGGTCTGGGGGTGTTTTTGGAGGTCTGCAGGAATTTGGGGGTGTTTTCGGGGTCTGGGTGACATTTTTGGGGGTTGTCCCCTCAGGGGTGGGGAACAGCTCAGAACAGGGGACCCCTCGAGGGGATCTGGGGGTGTTTTGGGGTCTGGGGGTGTTTTTGGAGGTCTGCAGGAATTTGGGGTGTTTTTGGGGGTCAGGGTGACATTTTTGGTGGGGTTGTCCTCAGGGGTTGGGAACAGCTCGAACAGGGGATCCTCAGGGGGATTTGGGGGTCTGGGGGTGGTTTTTGGGGTCTGGGGGTGTTTTTGGAGGTCTGCAGGAATTTGGGGGTGTTTTTGGTGGGTCAGGGTGACATTTTTGGTGGGG